ATAAAATTTTGATTACTGGATAATTGGAATAATCAAAAACAATTATAATTATAAAACACGAGTTGGTTATTTTCCTGACACTAATCAATTTAATTATAATTTCATTTAATGTGTTATTTTAAGTGACAACTAGGTAGTTGATTATATTAAGTTCCCAGCTCTACAGCTTAGCATTGCACATCAAGACAAAAATGTTATTAACAGTGCAAGATGGGATGAAGAAGTTTTTGCCAGTAATACAACACATATGGAACTGCTACCAGTAATATCGCAACAAACTTGGATGTTTTCACTAATAGCACCAAATAAAGTTTGCACTATATGACACTGCTGATTTGTCAACACCAAAGGTTAGATGTCGAGGTGTAGCCAAGGTATAAAAGGGTGCTCTACTTGATTGTTTTGTAGAGCTATCAGGAGCCTGGCATTTTAGAGGTGGTCATTTTGTTGAGAAATCATTTTTAACAGACCACAAGGTTTGATCAGATATCTTATAGAGCTTTCTAACATAAAGCAAGCAACTGGTGAACTTGCTGTTATGGGTTTATAATGTATTTCATATATTTATTTATTTATTAGTATAGTTTCTTTATTATGGTACTTCAGTAGCTAAGAAAGCCCCCCATGCATTTTGGCACTAAAAACTGTTTATTCTTTTTTGCTTATATTAGAATATATGTTGTTTTGAGTTCAAAATTTGTAATGTCTTGTTACATCCATATATAATATAATATAGATTTACTTCTCTATCTCAGGGGTCAATCCAGACTCCCAAAACAAGGAGAAGTAACTTCTCCTTCCGAGTGCCAACAGAGAGGTTTAGAAAATAGGAAAAATTTTAAATTTCTGTAAGAAACACATTCACAATGTTAAAATACCCTTTGGTAGAGGAAATTTTATTTGTGTGTAGTTACACATGCAGTTTGAGGCATTAAAAAACAATGATTGAATTTTTTATTTAAAAGCCAATTTTAATTTTTTGCTTTTGGAATCAATAAAACAATCAGTCTTCATTCAAAATAATATGAAACCAATATCGAAATTCACAGCATTTTTTATTTGATTTTGTTTGTTTAACTTACATTTTGAATGCTGGTCATGATTTGTAGTCTTAACATTGTTTCTTCCTTTATAATTCAGACTTAAAATTTTTTAAGCATTTTTGGCATTTTGTTCTCTAATTTTTCATTAGCCTTTTTGTTTTGGGCTAGAAAATGACTCGGATTTTTGCAAATGTTTTACACCTAACCAATTTGCTAGAGACATTCTGAGAAAATGAAGAATATCATTATGGGCAGCAATATATGTTTTATTTGATTGCATTCTTGAAGTGCAACTAAATTTGTATATTAATGAGTAAAAGCAATTTAAAATGATACCACTTTAGTAGATACCTTGTGTAATTAACATTTACCTCTTGCGACAAACAATCCAATCAAAAATACAGTAATCTATGTACTGAAAAATATATTCCTTTCTCAATCATCATTAACACCCTTCAGTAATCCACTGATAATAATTAACCTAATTATGTCTACTAGTACAATTTACAATCAACTTTTTTTTAATCGTTTTGATGCAAGTTTTCAATAAAAACTGATGCATGTAATTGGTTTTCACATATTTCTATGTAGAGAAATTGAATTGAGTGTGCATGCCTTGGAAGAATATGGATAAGTGGGTAGTGTTTTGGTGATTTGATTGGCTTATGTTGAGAGTTTGGAAGATACTGTTTATTGCCTTTGACATAGCAGGTGACTGACTGAGCTGAAAATTAAGGTGACTCGAATTTTGCTGCAAGGAAAAACAAAAAGCAAATTCTGAAAGGATATGCTTACCTCTCCGCACACGGTAGCTATTCCTTGTGTGTCTGCCTTTGAGATTTTGTGCATGCCATTAGCTTTGAGCTATCTCCTACCTAAGACACTTGTTATACCATGAACTGTGCTAGTGTATGATGTAATCATCATGTGATAATAACCCTACACCAATATTTGTGACACATCCTCCATGTACAGTAGATTGCCATAAGCATTTGCACTCTAAATTAAATTCATTCTTATCCTCGGCACTGTCTTTAATGGAAATGTTTTTTTAAGTTTAAACTTAATCAGTTTTGTGAGATTTGTACTGCCTTTCCACAGTGTTAACTTTTTTTGGTCACCTTGACTTCTACTTCCTGAGCAAGAGTTTCTATTTCCTTTGGTGACTCTCACATCTCTAGGACATCTTGTCCCTCTAGGTCAGGCTCACATGAGGCTTCTTTGAGTGACCAATGGAAAATCCCTTGCAATCATCTGTCTTCTTAAGTGACACTGCTGCCTTCTCTTCTCGAAGATCTGTCTTGGTGGCTGTATTGTGTTAACACTATAATTGGCAATTCACTGCTGCCCCCTCTTCTGTCTCCTATGGAGCATACATTCCACATCAATTTTCTGGAATTCTTGGCTGTGCATCTAACATATTCCTATTTCTTACTTTATCTTGGAGATCATTTGGTTATGAATCACTCCAATAATTCTAAGGTCATTTCCCATATCAATTGTCGTGGTGAGACTTGCTCTAAGGACCTTTGCTTATGCAAGTTGGGCTTTCTGTTTTTGGCCCACTCACATAAGGTTTGTTTAACCACCTGTCTTATCCTAGGGGCTTTTAACTTGGTGGCAGCTTGACTCTCTTGACTGGATAGGATTCTTCTTATGGAGTGATTACTCCATCCACAGGTATTTTTTTGCATTCGTTCCTAGTTGAACATGCCAATGATCAATGCCTTTGCTGCTCCTCTCAATACCATACTGCTCCCTTTTTGATCCTGATATCTCACCCAGCAGTTCTGGCTGTGTATGCCTTTAGTTAGGACTGATCTCATCTCGGTATGTGTACCCTCCTCTTTTCTCCCATGTGTCTTGGCATTGATTCACAACACTCCTTATTGGGTTCTGTTGGTAGCATATTTTTAAACCAGCTCAGTCATGGTTTCTTCTTCTTCACTGATTGGCATCTAGGGCACCTCTTCCACTGCCTCCATCAGGGTCACTTTTCTTCCAACCTCATACATCTCTCTTTCATCTAGGAGTGTTGTCCCTTTGTCTCCATGCATGGAGTTTGTCTAATCTCTTGTTCACCAGTCAGATTTCTCCAACTGCATTGCCCCTTTTTTCTTATTCATGTTCCCCTTCTACTCTGCATTTTTTTTGCCATTGGACTATCATTGCTTTATCACCAGACTGTCTTACATTTTCTCACCTTTTGTCTTCTTTTCCTTGTTGTTCTTCCAAAGTTTGTTGGTTTCTACCATTGCAGACTATTGGGTGGTATCATCAACTCTCTTTCACTCTTTATTTGATGGTTTTGTCTTTCATGTTCTTTCTACTTTGTTCTAGTCCTTCCTGATTCATTGTTCCCCTCATCCAGTTCCTTTGCCTTTCTGGAACCTTTGTATGGTTCTAAATGCTCTTACTCAGGCTCTGTTTGAATCCTTGGCCACTTTTTCTTAAACATCTTTTTCTTAAAACCTATTTCTTTCTTCTTTTTGGTTTTGTTCATCATAGATTTCATTTTAATGCGTTAGATGCCTCCTGTACTTTGTTTCATTGATCTCCTATGATTTTATTCCCTTACCACTTGTTTCTTCATAAGGCTTGGGTGGCTCAGGAGTCTGATCATTTCTTCCATATCCCTTCTATTGATCTCAGCCCTCTATGATCATAATAACCTTAGTTATCTTTTGTGTCCAGTTTGGGTGGTCAAGTGTTACTCAGCACACACAGCTCAATTTAGAGGCTCCTGCAATAATTTATTCTTCACATGAAATTCCTTTTCCTTCAAGGATCTCTTGGCCTCTACACTTACATATGGGTTTGTTAGCTCATCCAGATTGTCTATTCCTCCCCGGATGGAGATACTTGCAGGCTGTATCACATCACACTTGACTCACTCTCTGGCTTTGCACTTTTGATGACCCTTGGATGAGACCACCCAGGCTGGAATGTGGACTGTACTCAACACTTTCATCTCCCATTATCTTCACTATATGGTGGTTTCATCTCCCTCATGATATCACCTGTCTCCAGTCACCATTCGCCAGTCTATTCACCTTCTTTAAGAGATATGTGCCTCATTTATTACCTTAGCTGTTTATGCTGTTCTCCAATTCACTACTCGGACTCCACTCAGTGGCCAGTGTTGCCTCACAAGGTATACTTACTTCCCTAAACTTGCATCAAGTCAGGTGTAATGGGAAGCAGTAAACCCATCTGCCCTTTCCACCCTTCCTCCCTACTACTGGTGCACCTTATTCTTGCCTCATCTAAGAATGATGTTAATTTCTAGTGCAACTGCTTACATGGATCTACAGCACATAGAGAATGTGTTGCCCTCCTATTGGTGGAGGGTTATTGTCAAGTGGTGATTACATTATGCACTAGAGCAGTTCACATTATAACATGTATTAGATGGGAGATAGGTCAAGGATAGTGGCATGTGTGAAATCTCCAAGGCAGACATGCGAGGGATAGCTACTGTGTGTGTAGAGAAGTAAGAATCTATCAGAAATACATTTTCAGGTAAGGAAAATGTTAACATCAGAACTTTGAAGACAAATTTAAAAGCACTTTGCCTGGTCTTGTGACATCTGCTATCTAGAACCTTCTAGTCATGGATATTGCTTTGAGAGTGATATGATCCATCCACCTTGGCAGAAGTGGTGTTTGGAGGGAGATGTTTCCATGACCAAAGTGTGCATCACAAATTTTTTTATGCATCCTTTAATGTCTTGCAAATCTGCTGTTAAGCTTAACCTATGTTTTAACAACTGTTAGTAGTGATTGCCATGATTTCATTGATGACTGTATTTTCTTTGTTGAATTTACTGTATGAAATCAGGATAAGTTGAATAGGCTTTGAGTAACTATAATATTGGATGTGTTTATTTTTTTTTCTTTCTTAGTAATTGTTTGGTTATGATAGGACCTTACACCTTCTGGTTTTATTTTTAACAGGAGTGTGTCAATAACAGTTTCTCAGCCACAGAACCTCTTCCACCAGCACAGTCCACATATTTTCAGTTCAGTAGTGTGCCACAGCAAAGGCTAATATCTGCAGATTCTGATAGAGGTATAAAAAGATAGCTTTTATAAAATTTTTAAAACAGCGTGTTCGTAAATTGCATTTTATAAGCATGTTTCTGTGACAAAATCTCTTATTAAAATTACTTTTCTTTGTATGTGCCACAAAGATGCAAAGTATTTGTGTGCACCATAATATTTTAGAGATTATTAAGATTCTAAAGCTTGTGTTGGGTAGGGATGTTATATAAATTTGACATGTGAACGAATAAAGGTTCATAAAATGTCCAATAGTTAATACAGTTGGAAGAAGTATCAAAAGAACACTATACTTTAAAATAAGATATTATTAAAAACTTGATATAGCTTTTAGTAGAAGTGATTAACTTTCACCAAGAATTGTATTAGTGTTGAATAACTTAATGTGCAACTGCTACTTTTTCTGATACGAGTCTTGTTAGATATTGATACTGTGAGACACTCTAGTGGCTCTGGAATGAGGTCTAATAAACATAAAAATTTCCCATTAGCTATCTGATGTGCTCTATCTGTCATTGTGATGGTACTGCTTGAAGGTAGAGCTTTGTGCAGAGAAATTAGAGAAGAAATTGAGAGAGAGAGAGAGGTCAAACTGTATGATATTCAAGTTTGGCCATGCATTGCTGAATGATAAGTAATGGGATGTGATTTATTAAACTTTGTTTTATTTCAATTATTTAGTTTTGATAAAAAAAGAAATCAATCTTATATGAAAGTGTTATAAATATTTAAGATTTGAAAAGGGAATAATATGTTATATTTTTTTTGTAATTGGTAAAGTTTAGATTACATATGATTTGTCATTTTCTGAACTGAATTTTCCTTTTACTCTATTTATTAAAGTACTTAATACCTCCTGAGTTTTTAAATTCTTAATGAACTTTATTGTTTTTCTTTTCATAGGTATTTCAAACAAGAGAAAAAGAGGTGTAAGTATTTTGTTAATTTTTAGAATGTTTTGTAATCACTTTAAAACTAAAATAGACAAAGCAATAATATATATTGGTGTTGGTTAATGAATTGCTTGGGGTGAGTGACTTGATTCATGGTTGGTTCATTATACAGAGGCCTGGCATGGCCAGGTGGTTAGAGTGCTCGACTCGCAATCTGCAGGTCGCAGGTTCAAATCTCCATCCCACGAAAACATGCTCGCTCTTTCAGCCGTGGGAGCATTATAATGTGAAGGTCAATCCCATTATTTGTTGGTAAAAGAGTAGCCTGAGAGTTGGCAGTGGGTGGTGATGACTAGCTGCCTTCCCTCTAGACTTTCACTAAATTAGAGATGGCTAGTGTAGATAGCCCTCGTGTAGCTTTGTGCAAAATTCAAAACAAACAATCATTATACAGTGATGTGTGTATATGATATTTTTTAACCTGAAAATAATGATCACTAAAAGACAAAAAATATTACTTAGCTACAGGTTTTTGCTTGCATATTTGTCTTTTAAAAATATCCCTTTCCTGTTCCAAGAATATGTCAAAAGGTATCTTGGCATCATGGCATTGCATTTATATACAGTTGGCTTTCGTTGAGTCAAAAAGAGAAATCATTAATATCTCTGTTCTCACTTTTGCAACTTTTGGCCAAGTATAATACATATTTATCAGTTGCACTGTTGGTTTCTCTTGTGTTTTAAAATCTTTTTTTTTTTTAAATTCACGCTTAAGATACAAGTATAAAATTCTTAAGTTAAAGCTTTTAGTAATCCTTAATCAAAGATATTCTCAATCTGCATGAAAAATTAAATCAAAACTTATTTGACCTTTAATTTTTTTAGTGAAAATCATGATAATAAATAAAATAGTAAGTCACACTTTAAGCTAATTTATAATATGAAAAATAATTATGTAAAAAAAAAAAGAAAATATAATGGTTATAAAAATATTTAGATTCTGTAAAAATGAATTAAACTTTATCTTCTTTCTCATCAACTTGTTTTTGCCAAGTTTTATTTTATTGTCTTTCATAAACTTTCACATGCAGCATTAATACTCCCAAGTTCAGTTATGATATTTTCAAATTAAACCAGCAGTTGGCATTAGATATTTCTTATGTCAGTTATCATATGTATCATTTTATGTTAGATGGAAGAGACTGAAGAACAAGAGGGCCAATGGGTAAGTAAATTGTTAATATCAAAAGCATCTTGAAAAACACTTCTATATGTTACATTCAGGGTTCATGAGAATTCACTTTGATAATTTAATATTTGAATCTCTCTGCCAGGATTTATATTACCTGATACACTAAATTTGACGTATAACCAAATTAAATGCTGTAATGGAAACATAACAGACTAACGAGAAAAATTTAAAGTCTGGAATTGTTCCCTTTTATAATTCTATGTATTTATTTATTTTTTTGTAAATGTGAAGTTTATAAGATAAAATGTCGAAACATTTACACTTGTTTGACATATGGAAGCCCCCCCCCAAAAAAAAATCAAAACTAGATAGCTTTTACTTCAAGACTATAAACCAAAACAAGAGCTTTCTAGATCTCTTCCAGCATCATAACAGATATATATATATATATATATGTGATACATCTCAAAAACCAGTATCATTTAGAAGGTTTTGTTTTTGTATATGTACACCTAATTCTCAGTCAAGTTAGATTTTCTGTCTGTACTTATTTTTAGTGAATTTACTTTTTAGTAAATTACTATTTAAACATTAGTAATTTTTTGTCACTAGTTTAAGAAATGTCAGAGTGTTATGTGGTTATTGAGAATGCTCAATCATCTGAGGCATGACTCTTTTTTGTATTTGTTACAATTTAAGGTAGGTTTTCTCTGAAATAGTGGCCTATATAAAGTGATATTGACCTTTACTATCAATATTTGTAAATGAGAGGAATATAAGAAACTGTAATATGTTCTAATTTCATTCAGTTTTGCTTTCTAATTGTAACTTTTGCAATGCTGAGCATATAAGAAAATAAAAAAAGATTTAGGCTTAAAACCTATTATCTTATAATGTACTGTGTTAAATATAAGGTCATATTGATATCTATAAATTCAGAAACTATGCAAGTAAAAATATAAGCTTATTGTAGGGTAGGAGTCTGTTACATTGAAAAGCTTGTTTTTATACATTAGGAGCAGATGTCTATTTAGATATTGTAAATGTATATATTTATATACATGTAGTTCAGGAAGTGCTGGTGAATTAAATGTATACATTTTGTGACAAGAACCACCCACCTTCATGTTTATCTGAAAAGGGCAATTCTGAAGTATGCCGACAATCCAAGACATGAATTTATTTTAATTATTTCTCCATTTTGTTTTATAATAAATACTGCTCAATCATTTTAGTTATAAAAAAAAGAGGAAAAGAAACATTTATGTTTGCATTTTATTTGATATAACTAGAATATATATATACCAGTTCAAGAAACAAACAAAACTTGTTATAATGAAAGAAGTATTGATGAAGAAGTTTTAAATTTCAATATTTATTAGTTTATTTCTTTGAACAGTTTATCATTGAAGATGTTCTCTCTTTACTAAATATTCTGGTTATTAGAGTAATGTTTGAATAAAATACTTAAATTATAAATTAAATTTCTAGTGTATGTTTGGAGTAATTATAAACTAGATATTTTTAAGGGATTTTATGTAATTTATATAGGACATATTGATATATTAGACATATTGGTATATGTTGTCTATAATGTTTTACATATTTTGATGCTGTCACTTTTATTGTATTATTTAAATATTAAAAACTTAAAACAAGGTACAGAATTAACTTAATCTCCTTTCATAAAATTTACCTGATGCTAAATTGGGTTAGGGTCTTAAGTTGTATGAATCAATGGTATTTTTTATTTGGTAATTTGAAAACAAAACAAAAGAGTACTTGAACGAAGGTTAACAAATACTAAGAGCCTAGAAGCCTAAAATCTTCTCAACCTTAGTGTCATTAAAATTAATAAGGCTACAATAATTATTTTACCTTGAACTCAAGTTAATGAGACAGAAACACTTGCTTTAGTTGGCAGATAGTTTGTAAATAAGTGTAACCCATTTTGGTTTAGGGTGACTGCTGATTATAACTTTGTACCTGTGTGGTATTCAGGTCCACTGATATCTAAAAGATAGTGTATAAGAATCTGCAAAATACTGATCGTGAAAATATTGTGCATGGAATAAATCAAGTATAGACAGTAAAGGAAAGAAACATACACAAGTGAACAAATAAACAATCTTTATTCACAGTGATTGCATTTATGTAAGTTTATACTTACTGTCTGGCTTACAGTTTTCTATTGACTCTTACTGGTTGCAAGACAAAGAAAGAATTCTATATACTGTTCACTCAAGCCAAAGACAAAATTTTGATTTACCATCGAAATTCACAGAAAAACAAAAGTGTGCTGCGTCATCACTGACTATTCCAAATAACATTTTTAGAGGGGAAAAAATCCCTAACTCATACCAATTTGTACAAGTAACTGTGTCACCCCTTGAGATGGGCTCACTCTTCCTGAGGGGAATAGAGAAAGGGCAAAAATATTAGGTGTTTCTAGCTAGCCATAGGCATATGCAGTCTTTATCTGAGTAAAAAAGATTAATACATGTTTATAACCTTTTGACATCAGAACTACACAAAAATTTTCGTGCAGTTCTGTGTAGTTTAGAACAATATTGAACTTCCTCACCGTTATCAAAAAAGTTCTACATATATATAATGTAATAATGTGTAGAGTGGCCCCAAAAAATATTGTACTGCATTAAGACCTAATCTGGTGTTTGTAACGTGATAAAACAGCTACTATGTTGAAACCTTATGTATGTATAAGAAAGAACTTTAATCAAGAAACGACAGATAAGGCCAAGGAAGATTTTGGAAATTCTTTCATAGCCAGTGATTTTTATTTTTCCTGCCATTATCACTACAGGACTTCAGTTCGTATTTCAAGACACATGCATGTTAGTGTTATTATTTTAATATCCAGGAGGGATTTGTAAAAGAAGTAAACAGATGGTAGCCTACTTTTCAGTACAGGCAAATATCAGACTTCAGTGGTAACCTTTAAAAGGAAGTTATACTTCGTGGGTGAGAATTCTACAAAAAACATTAGATATGGGTGAAAACCCTAAAAGTATAAAATATGAAAAGAGCATAATAAAATAACTTTGGTAAAAAAAATATTAGGCTTAGATGAAACCTCTAAATGAATTATTAGTAACCAATTATTAACGGTAACATTGTTTTGAGCTTCCCTGATTATTAGATTGAATCATAGATGTAAAATACGTCAGGAGCTATCACTTTAGTGAGATTAACTAATACTGGCAACAGCGTTGAAACATACGATTAGGGAGACGCAACAGGTATGATGTAACCATGACTACAAAAGAAAAGCGGCGTTTAAGTGCACTAGTGAAGAGCTGCGGCATATTTACAAAAGACAAAATATATAATATTGAACTGTTAAAGGCTGTGAAAAGTATAAATCCATTAAAACACACATTTACAATATCAGAAACCAAAACATACAAAAGATGATACATACAGAACCGACCCCACAAACAAAAACCACATATGCATCTATCCTGCAAGGGAATCGTACACAAACCCAAACATCTAAAACACACAGAATACACTACACCTCCAATCTAACCACTGACATAGATACGGGAGCAACAAGCCAAAGAAGTAAGGGATACTGGAGACAAACAAAATACTATAATCAACTCTTGTAAAAATCTGTTTACCGATTTTATAGCCGAAATAACAACCCGTACAATCTCACGACTACTTCCAGACATTTGTAACTGTAGCCAAAATACACGCACATTGCTACTACTTCCTGAACTAATCACACATGTATCACGGGACAGTTCTTCAAACCAAGTTGACAGTCCAACATGCAAGGTGTTATTGGTTGCAAGGAACATGAGATTAAAGGCATTATCAAAGATACAAACCCAGGTATATTGGTCATAACTGAAATAATGTTATATGCAAATAATAAACTTAGAATACCAGGATATTCATTTATTAGAAAGGAGAGAATACATGGGGAAGATGAAAATATGGAAATAGCCGTACTGTACATAGTTTGTCAATATACGATTTAAATCAATGTACCACAAATGAATGTATAGCCACAGACAAAAATCTAGAATAAAATAAAAATATAACAGTAGCAAGTATATACTGCCCATAGAGCAAAGTTATTGACTTAGAATTACTTACCAATATATCTGTTTGTTTGTTTTGAATTTCGCGCAAAGCTACACGAGGGCTATCTGCCTAAGCCGTCCCTAATTTAGCAGTGTAAGACTAGAGGGAAGGCTAGTCATCACCACCCACCACGAATAGTGGGATTGACCGTCACATTATAACGCCCCCTCGGCTGAAAGGGCGAGCATGTTTGGTGGGACGGGGATTCGAACCCGCGACCCGCAGATTGCGAGTCGAGCGCCCTAACCACCTGGCCATGCCGGGCCTACCAATATATATAAACAGAATACAAACTGTATACTCATAGTGGGTCGTAATAGTAAGCACCGTTTCTTTGGGTGCAGAGAAACGAATCAGAATGGAAAACGAATACTACGCTTCCTAAAAAAGTCTGATATACTTATTTTAAATAATTCCCCGACGCATACATCGTTCGGCTATAACTCTGTCAATATATTAGACTTGTGACTAAGCTCTAATGTTATGAGCCAAAAATGTATCTCCTTCAGCGTAGGATATGACATAGGTAGCGATCACCTGCCGATCTGGTGTGCCTTCAATCTCGGCCCCCATAGAAACCAACAGATTAAAACAGAAAAATTAAATTACAAGAAAGCAAAGTGGGATGAATACCAAGTAAATCTGGACGAACTCTTACCTTTGTATTCTACCAACAGTGCCGTGAGTACACCTCAAATAGGTGCGTATTGTCAAATCACCGAGTGCCTGCACATAGCAGCAAATAAATCGATACCTGACCATAAAGTATACATGGCTCCCACACGCACAGTTAATTAACATGATTAAAGAACGAACAAAACTACGCAGAAAATACATGGAAAAACAGAGATCCGTCAACTGAACCAGAATCAACACATTCAGAAACAAAATAAGAACAGAAGTAAAACAAGAACGAT